GATCAACTCGCTTGCGTCTTCAATGAATCGCGGTTGGATACTGTTACCGCCCCATGTTGGGTGGTGGCGGTTGAAGTCTCCCGCGAGGACGACGCTTGTAGACCGTCGGTCGTCCCGTAAAGTAGCTGTGATCGTGTCTTGGATTGCTGTGAGTGCTGGCTCCGCCGACGCGTTGTCAGGCGTATATAGTGGGACGCATGGGATGTAAACAGAAAAGAGAAGAAGTTGAGAGTCGGCCGTCCAGATCTTGATGGCAGCAACATCTGGATGGTCACAGGGGATCTGTCGGTGTGAGGATGTTGAGACCCTCTGGTTAACATAGACTAGACTCCGAAACCGAGCTCCCTCGGTCTCGGCAGTTGGTCGATATAGTCGCCAGGCGCTATGGTTGACGTGTGTTTGGTAGGCGGTGATGGATGGTTCCTGGATTAAGAGTACGTCCAGGTTTTGGCTTTGGTGGTCGTTGATAAGCGCTTCCATCCTTGGTCCCGATTTCATGATGTTCAACTGTAGCACTTGTAGGTTCGTCTCTAGCATTGACGGGGGTTGGAAGTTGCGGGGGTAGGGCACTGTCGATCACTAGTTGGGTGTTCGCCGCTGCAGTCGAGGCATCGGGCTCTGACCCCTGGGGGGCATCGTTGCCGTTCGTGTTGGCCCGCACAATGGCCGCACCGTGGTGTCTCCTTGCACGACCACGCCAAGTGTCCGAACCGCTGGCATCGAAAACATCTCTTTTTCTTGATCTCGCGGCGTTCTACACTACCAATGTATCTCTGGCCGACTAAGAGGCCATTGTTAAGGATGCAATCGGCTCCTTCCGTAGAATCGAACCATATCCCAAGTGATGCAAACTTTCCTAATGGCTTGTCCTTCCTCTTGAGCCATGCCACCTCTTCGATCCGGAAGCCCTGTCCCGATAGGTCGTTTTCTTCCGTGATTTTCTCAATAGCTCGGGCGTTTGCATTCTCCAAATCAAAGTCCTCTGTTGGGGTGCGGTGCACGACGACGCCGAACCGCGGTTTCACCAGTTTCGTACTATTTCCTAGTTCATTCAACCATTCAGTGTTGTTGCGGGCCACTTCGGCCGACTCGGGGTCCTTGAATCGAATCACATAGCCCGTCTTGGTGGTGCCAATTCCAGCGACCTGCGCATCCTGGGTTGATGGGGCGTTCATTAGCGCGGAGCGGATGTGGGTATTAGCGGAATCTGTGGGGAGGTATCGGCCGAAGATGTTTCCATCGCTGTTATTGTTGTCCTCTGGGTCTACGAACGATCGCTGGGTGCTGATACGGACGCAGTTCTGGTCCTTGTTGGGGCGTTGGTGGGTCGGTGGGGGGAAGCACCGCTGCCGCTTGCCGCAACTGCGGCCCATGATCTGGACGGAGGTGCTGGTGGGTGGGTTTCGATTTGTGCTCGCAGAGCTCTGATTTCCTCGTGGAGCTTATCATTCTGATCACGAAGGACATTCTGGTCGTGTCTGACCTCCTCGATCTCGGTTTTAGTGGATTCGATGAGTGCGGTTTGGTGGTGTATGATTAATTTCAGGCTGTCGATGAGTTTCCACACTTCCCTGGTGGTAACGCGGCCCGTGCCATCCGATGGTGCGAAAGCATCACCGCTCCGTGTTCTCTTACGGGATTGAGGAAGCGGCTCGGTCGGGACACGAGGCTGGAAGTCCTCAACTGAGAAGCTGGTGTTGGTTTCTTGGGTGTTTGTGGGAGGGGGCTCGGAGGCCCCCAAAGGTGGGTCCGCCATCGGTCCGGGGTTAGTTCCCGCTCGGTACACAACACTGCAAATTTTATATCGCAGTTCACCATGTACAGTCTCTTGGTACAGCAATATTCGAAATCAGCTTTACCACTACACTGTCTCGAATCCATTCCCAAACCCTGACTCGAAACACGCTAATCTAATTTTAGATCTCCCCCAGTAATCCCTGCAGGACGGTATTGTATTCGTCGGTAATATTAAATAAGTCATTGTTTTAGTACCGTAATTTCCTGTAGAATCAATTCGAATCTTTCCATGCAAACAAATCAAACACAAAAGGTGAATCCTAACATTCTGGCAAGATTCATCCCCCACTCTCCCACACGTCGGTCTACTCATCACAGGCAGCCTTCGCCTACGCTCATTTGACACCCATAGAAGGCTGCGGTGGCACCATATAGAGATAACCCCGGTAGGCAAACATGCTTCTTCATTTCCATGATTTCTGTTATCTACTGCGATTTTCGTTCGTTACCAGCGTATATTGGAAGCTGGTACCGGAGAAGCTGACGTGGGTCTTTCAAGGCTGTAATCGTGTGTAGAGATGTCGCAGAGCCCATATCACGTCGGTTCCATATCTCAACCCGAAGTGTTTGAGCCATGGGAACACAATTCGCTGTACGCTCCAACCCCTGGATACATTGGCAGTCCCTACGCAACGCGGTCCAACTACAGTCCCTCCTGGCCTGGTGGGCTTGAGAATCAGTCACAACCAGATACTCTCAGGCTGCTCCAGTTGTCCGAATGGGAGGATGGAAGAGATTACAACCAGGACCCGCCGACCTGTATTCACTACCGTATAGAGTGGCGAGTGACCGTTAACAACCGGGAGGTGTCTAAGGACACGGAGGAAGACCTCGTTTTGGCTCCTAGTGCCTACTGGCAGCTGTTCTTAGAGAAGAAGCTAGAGAAGGTCCTTCGGCGTAAAATTGCCCGCCATCGCATGGTAAGAGCTGATGACACTGCCATTGTCGTTTCAGTGAATGATCGCACACAGCGCAATCTGACTAAACGATTTGACGACACCGAAATCATTTGGACTGCCATCGAAAAGCAGCTCCTGATGTGGTCGGGTCTGTTCTCCAGGGGTAAGGAACTCACACTGAAGATCTGTTTCAACTACGTAGACAATCGTCATTCCCCTGCAGCCGTTGGTCGGAAAGTGGAGAAAAGAGGAAAATCCTCTGTCACAAGCAGGATGCTCGATGAAAGAGATGCCCAGCTGGATGCGGAGGAGGATGCCTCGGGACAAAAACCAGTCTGGCGCAGCGTTTATAATCTGATGCGATGCGCTTCGTCGACATGCCCCGGTGGCCCCTATTGTTGGGTGGATCCAATGGGAAAAAAGCACTATCAACTGAAAACTCATCATCTGAGGCGCCTAGTCACCTATGTCGAAAAAGGTGGTGTCTTGGATGGTCACAAGGATGTGCCGGAAACGGTACGCGAGGAATTATTTATGGAAGAGCAACAGAGACTGGAGAAGAGCCATCGCAAAGGTGGACATATCATTGGAAATGGTGTACCGTACCCTCCTATCAATATCAATGTCTTGCCCTCGCAGTCTTCGGTCTCTGGATCAGACATTTCGGCTGCCCAAGCTGTTGACTTGAAGTCTTTAAGCCCGCTCGAGATTCCTGGATCTAGAGACGAAGCGGTCAAAGAATACAGTGAGTGGCAGGTGTCAAATGTCACTGATGACACTCTCAAGGCTGCATTTCGACAAGTCTGCGACTTGATGCTCGAGGATGGTCTTGACCTTGAGCAGGTCTACAAGGATCAAGACCCGGGATTTTTCATCGGCAAGGGAATAAAGATGGGCATTGCTCGACGTTTCGTAGAAGACATTCGGCGCTGGGTTGAAAACGTGAAGAAAGCAATCCCTATTCATGAAATACTTTAGGTACAACCTGCTTGGCGTTGGTTCACGTGGAGTTTGAAAGGTTTAAATAGATTATATGGCAACATTGAGTAGTGCCTTTGAACGTGAGCTCAATTTTTGAATGGTTTTCCGGGTGTCGTTGATTTGTATAACCAGATTGCTGTTCAATGGCCCCATGCCGTAATGGAAGCCCCGGGGGAAAAGAGCTAAGAAAAAGAGCTGAACGTGTGTAAGACCGTCGTGGATATTCAACACATCAAATATGTGCATATCGACGGACCTGGGCTGAATGTCCACCGCAGGTGGAGCCAATTTATACCAATATTTTGAGGTAGTGGATCATCCGAGTACTGAGTAGCTTTCCGTCTAAACGTTGCATGTAAGGTCACAACACTAACTGTGTTCGGATGCCGTCTATCTTGCTCGAAGATGAGACCAACCCCGCAACAAAATTAGTTCCGTGGGAGCCTCCTACAGGACACCTGCTCACCCTTTTCTGCCGAGCTAGACCTGGACAAATGGGAGTTTTTAGTCCCATGGGGGCCGCGGGACTTAAAATTTCGGAATAAATGCCAAGACTTTGACAAGTTACCTATCTAGGTAATTTTCTAATCTAAATAGGTAGTCCTGTTTGAAATGTCAAGGTGGGTCTGCTCTGCTCATCGACTGGACGAAGCAGACTTCGACTAAAGCCAGGGGAATGGAATACGAGGAAACCTACATGACTTGTTGTTGCCGGAGGGGCGGTGTCTCTGTTATGGGCATTGATCTGCGTTCCATGTCCAGCAGGATTGAATTTCATGAATTGGGGGAATCCTTGCAGCAGCTGGGGCACACTGGTTTGAGTAGCTTTCGGGCCCAATACAGCTACACATCGCGCCACCGCTGCCATTGCGCGAATGTGTATCACCTTAACGTTATGGTTCATTTCCAGGGACCTACGAAACGTTCTTCTGGAGCCATGGCAGAGCATTTGCGGTCTGTAGAGGGCCATCCTTGACTGGTATTGATCACTTGACAATCTTTGTTGCAAGTCTGGGCATTCCTGAGTGGGTCGTGGCTCCACTTTCAATAGCCCAGCCACTTGGTGCGCCTCGAGCCTTAATAGGTCGATCACAATGTTCTGGATAGTAGCGTGCGTCTATGTTATTAGCGCTGACATTGGGTCTTCCCCGCTATGCACTCAGTGCACTAAAGAGTCCTTAAATTGACGCTATATCCCAGCAAAGCTAAATCTACACAGTCGATTGATCTTGCCGTTAAAAGGTATAAGTTCCGCCACCGCTCCAGGAGAAGTTTGGCTGGATTAGAACTACTAGCATGCCGCAACAACATCAACACGATAGGGAATTTGATCAGCATTTTGCCCTCATTTACATTGACAGAGAGGGAAACCTTCGCCACGAGACGTCTACTTCCATCTCCGATAGTGCCCAGGCTATTCTGTCCCCTCGAGTTATAGGGGAGTTTCTGCAAGCGGTGGCAGAATCAAGTGAAAGGGGCTTTTCAACGCCTGCTCTGCCTGACAGCCAGCCTCTCATTCCGCAGACATCATCGCTAGCGCCTCTTGTGCCTGGAACAGCAAAAATAAGGGCAAATTTGCAACGCAGAAGGAAATCGTGGACTGGGGAACATAGTTTGGCTGCCCAAACGGCCACGATCGCCGTCAATAACAAGAGTCTTCTCCGTAAATACTATGAAAAGGTCTTTCAGAATTTACAGCAAACGAATTGCCGAGTTATTGCCAAAGCCTATGTAAGACTCGTCGAGCCACGCAAGCAAGCTCAATATCCCTACAATGGAAGGAAGACTGTGGCAGGCAAGACACAGCAACTCAGTCCTGAAGAGACCAAACCGCCATGGTGGCCGCCTGGTGTGAGCCACCGGGAACCGGACCACCTTCCTAAAGCTGGTAAGTAGACCAGCTCTTCTCCCTGCTATTGACACAACTGACCTTTGAATCAGAGCGCATCGCGCTCCTCGTCCATATCCTTTGCGAATTGCGCACCAGCCACAGAATCACCGCGCAGAAGTTGAAAGATGCAGGGCAGCCTATTCAACAACACATTTCTCCAATCGAACGATTGCAATTACTGGACGAGATATACCGCGTTAAAGAGGAGGAGGAGGAAAATTCCTGGATGCAGTGACCGGTAGGTTCTTGCAATTACCTGCAAGCTGTGGGCTAATGAGGTGCAGATGGGAGTGCAAGAGTCTCGATTTCGCGAGCGAACCTACCTGACTGCATGGAAGTTGCCTGCAGACAGAACTACCCGGGCAATGAGAGGTCTCGGGGTGAACAAAAGCCGAAATGCGAGCTGCCAATCCAGAACTTGTCGATATACATCCGACCTGGTCAAGAGATGATTCCATTGAATGTGCCTGTGGCCCCATATGCTATCTTGAACACCCCTCTTGAGCGACATCTTCTCATTAAATCTGGCTTCAATTCTTCATCGTCGTCTGTGTCCCCTCGAGACCTAAAACGAAAGCGTCTGTGTGCTGAGGACGGCAAGCCTCCCACGAGGTCTACTTCCATGAACCACTCCTTCTCTTTTCCCATTGCGCGTCACTCTTTATTACAAGATACCTTCATGAATATGCCAGAGTTCCAACAACAGGGAGATTGGATATCATGGGATACTTGGGTGGGGCACTGAGCTGGAGGTGTCAGGAATTTCGTGTAATATACAGGTATTATACATAAAGACCAGGTCCGAAATTACTGTTAACTCTGAGTCTATTTATAGAAAATGATTCTTGACGCCTTCGCCAGTATAGGTTAGTGTGGCTTCTCGGCCCGTAGCCGAAATGACGCTACGTCATATGAGGTTACTACCAAAACAACCACTGCTTAGCAGTATAGTGGTATATAACGTATTTGGCCGTAATGTCCAATGTGACATTGTAAATTACCGTATTCATCCATGGAAGGTTCTAGGGACAGATCTAGAGGAGGGAGATCTGGCAATCTGGCTTGATCCAAGTCCACTCCCTTCTTCCTTTTCCCCGTAGTCTTCATCTTCATCTACTGTACCTTTTATATGTCGAAAGCTGTACCCCTGCTCTACTGTAAAAGACTAAGCCCAGTAGGCTAATATGGTTCTCGTTCATGCCTCCCATGACTCCTGCTCACTTTCGTCGCTTTCATTCGTCATTGGGCGTCTACCCACAGCTGGTACCGCCCACTTATGCTGACAGACCTCCAGGGCCTTGATCGCGTGTAGATATGAACGGCAGCCCATACCACGATGATTACGTGTCTCAGCCCCAAGAGCTCGAACTATGGGAACAAGATTCACAATATGCCCCTACCCCAGGGAACTTCCGGAGCCCTTATGCTAGACAGTCCGACTGTAGTCCCTCACCGTCTATCTCGCTCGAAGATGAGCCCAACCCCGCAGACCGACCTCAACCAAATACTATACCGCTGCTCCAGGAATCTGAGTTGGACGCGGACAAGATCTACTACGAGGATCCGCCAAGCTGTATCCACTACTTCATAGAATGGCGTGTCACCCTCAACAACAAAGCCGTGGTAAGGGACACGGAAGAAGACCTGGTATTCGCACCGAGCGCCTACTGGCGGTTATACCTGGAAAAGAAGCTACAAACTGTCCTCGGAGAGAAAGTCCCCCGCAACAAGAGGGTCAGGGTCGATGACACGGCGATTGTTTTCCCTTACCGTACAAAAACTGCGTTGAATGACATAGTTGCACCCCAGGGGTGTTGCAAAAACAGGCTACTGTTGATATGTGCCGCTGGGCAGTGGTTCGATTCTGTTCTAGCCACTGTAGTTCTTATTCTAAACATAACGACGCGGCGACTAGGTGCCCAAGTATCACTCAGAGCGCTTCATTCATCCGACGATTTGTTCTCTCTTTCCTGATACAGAATATGACCAGTATAGCTCCCATGTTCATCGTGGTAGATATGTGCTGTCTGAGCCTTGTTGTTTTTGAATTGTTCCTCGGTTGCAAACAGTGCTGTGGCATGCGGCCTGAGGTCGGTATGACTCGTGTGCGATGGGTTTCTGTGGTGGTTAGATTTTCAGTACGGCAATTTCAGTTAAACATAACATTAATATAGTCCTTACTTGAGGATGGCTATGGTGAAGTGTGCTAAGTCAGGCTTCTGAGTAGCGTCTTCGATGAGGTTGAGCGTGAGATTGCGCAAATCAGAATTGCGAATCCTCTGCGTCAGCTTGACGGCATGCCGGGGGATAGGAGACATGGTGGGCTTCAAGTCTCTTATACGAATCGTAGGTTGTATAGAATATCAACGGGAAATAATCTCTTTAGCCCTAGATACGTCTTGGGGAACAGAATCTTGCTGATTTATATATTTGCCCTGAGATTGTTTGAGTCTGCTTTTACCGCCGTCAACTTGCGTAGGGTTTCTTGAGCTTGCGTTGTGCTCCAATAATTACGGTGTCTTTTGAGAATGCATAAGCGCCCGATTCATTGCTTTGTGGTGGTGTACCAATGACCAATCATTTGCCGCCAAAAGGCTCAAGCGTTAAAACAGATCATGTGATTGGCTATCGTATGCGAGCTTGTTGCCACGTCATCTATCCCTAGGCGGTTCGGACATCCGATCACAGTCTGTATTCTTGATAATATCTACCCGATAGCCACAGACAAGTTTGTTTTATCTAATGAAACTTGCTTGTATACTTTCGCGACGCACTGTCCCCTTGAGGAGCAACCCACGGCTTCGTGTTATTTCTAAGTCTATGTCTACCTATCCAGACAAAAGTCAGATGGACCAGCCCCTATATATTTCCCCCGTTGATGCGGAACCACTCGATCGCTACCGACAAGGCGGTTACCATCCAGTCGTCCTGGGTGAGCACCTGAAAGCTGGAAGGTATAAGGTGTTGCATAAATTAGGATGGGGAGGTTACTCAACAGTTTGGGCGGCGAGAGATCAAAGGTTGTACAAAATTATGCGACTCATGGTAATTCTAGCTAACATAAAGTTCTACCTGATTGCAGGAAAGGGATTTATGTTGCTGTCAAGATTTCTGTTGCAGAAAAGGAACATGATGGGGAAACGCGAGAGCTCCAAACTATGAAGAAGTTGGCATCTCATCGTCCTCCTCTCAAACATACGCTGTGCATGCTTGATAACTTCGATTTAACGGGCCCCAATGGACATCATAACTGCCTAGTTTATGAGCTTCTAGGGCCTAACATCCCGGACACAATTGATGCACACTTTCCCGATGGGAGACTCCCTGGGAAGCTCGCCAAAGTTATTGCGAAGCAAAGTCTTATTGGGCTTGATAGCTTGCACCAACAAAATATTGGACATGGTGGTAGGTCACTCTGTTGGGAATACCTTGAACTATTCTCACATAATATAGATCTGCATACCCGCAATTTGGCCTTTACTATGCCTTACGTGGACAATGTAACCGAACAGAAATTTACTGAGATGTTAGGAAAACCAGAAATTGGCTATGTCCGTAGGAGCGACGGGAGGGAACTGGAGCCTGGCATACCCGAGTATATCGTTAGGCCTACCTCATATCGGACGCATTCTTGGAATTCGGCCCAGTCGATCAAGATAATCGACTTCGGTGAATCATTCTTACCCACGGCAGTTCCTCGAACACTACACACACCTCTAGCTATTCGGGCACCTGAAGTTATATTTCAAGATCGCATTGATTATCGTGTTGATTTGTGGAGCATGGGATGCATGGTGGGTGAACTCAACTAGGGCCAAACGTTGAACAACAGTAAACTGATAAGTATGACAGCTCTTTGAACTTTTCGTGGGACAACCACCTTTCGACACCTTCTTGATAACGCCTAAGATCCTCGTTAGCCAAATGCGAGAGATGGCAAGTGACGACCTACCTGAAAGGTGGCATGAGATATGGGATACGATGAACGCAGGAGACGGCAGAGTCATAGAAAGCACGGGGCCCAACTTGCAGGAATGGCTAGAAGAAGTGTACTTTGATAGCCCACAGAGTCCCGATCTCACCAGAGAAGATATCACGAGGCTGGGGCAAATCATCGGAAAGTTATTGCAGTTTGAACCGTCAGCAAGGGCGTCAGCTAGACAAGTTCTAGATGACCCTTGGTTTAATGAGTAAATGATCCACGGCAAGCGGTCGTTCTGTCGAGAGTCTGCGCGGGAACTCAGTTTCAACCGAGTCTGCACCTAGGACCTTTCTAATATTTCTTCGATCTTTAAGCCTGCGTGTCGAAAATGACCTTTAGCGCTTTCTTCTTTTGCACCGACAATATCAATACACCATGTGAGGAAGGCATCAAATCCTTGATCAGGATCTGCTTCATAGTAGCCCCAGTTACGTTTAATGAAAGCTTTTAGCTCAGCGAAAAACTCCTCAATCGGATTTAAGTCCGGTGAGTAGGGCGGTAGATAAATCAATATCACCCCCGCGTCCGCACACATCTGCGCAATCCGTTCTGAATGATGAAACGATGCATTGTCCATAATCACAACAGATTTAGGCTCGGGCCATTTTCCGCAGTGCTGAAGAAGCTGGGCTATGAAGTCTTCAAACATAGTAGCATCCGTTGAACCGCGAAAGACACGCGAGAGCACGATCCCATCTTGGGCATACGCAGGCAATATCTGATATCGCTGGTCGCGGTGGAACTGCGATACTTGTATGGGCGCCACGCCAAGGGGTGACCAGCCTGTTCGCCTGAATCCAACCCTTTTATCGCACCCAGATTCATCAACGTACACTAGGTGATATGATTGAAAGTCTGATAAATTGTGCAAATAATACTCTCGTAAGTCACCATTTCGCTCCCTAGCTTGCTGCCGAGCAGTCTTTTTCGACCAACCTCTGGCGACAAGGGCTCTTCTGATGCTGGAGGTTGTGGCTAGGGTGTGGAACTCATCCCAGAGGAAGACAGCCATCTCATCTAGGTAGAGACCAGGCTTTTCAGACAGGTGGTCGCAGAGGGCCTCGATCATCGGCGGTGTTACGGTCCGTCTCCGGCCTATTCGATTTGGTGGTGCGTGGACAGTTCCAAACTGCCGTAAGTTCCTGCGAATATTGATGATCGTAACCTTGCTGCATTCAGCTTCTTCAGCCATTTGAGACGTGCTTAGTGACTGGCTCTCTATCATATCACGGATGAGATGTAACTTTGACAGGGGAAGTCTTGGAGCCATATTGCAAGGAGTTACGCGGGGTGACGCTCAAGAGTAATTCAGAGATGAAGAAGCCTGTTGCATGAGAGAAGAGGGGCACAGAGATGGCATGCGTATAGCGATTTCGTGTAAAATACGTCAATGTACGTCCCACCAGCGTTATGTAAAATACAATTTCTATTCTGGGAAATTAGGGATCGACCACCATACCGGATCAAGGTTAGCGTGTTTTCAAATAGGGCTTCAGAATTAACATGTGAGAGTGTGGGGTTAAATCTGATTTCGAATATTACTGTATCGCCTCGTCTCGATCACGGAGTTCAGTCGGGGTATGGAGACAGCATCTACTGCAGTAGATATCCATACCATCAGGCGGAACAAATACCCACGCCACAAGGCTATCGGCTATCCCCTGTAAATCTTCAAATTCAGAGAGACAGACCACTATACACTCCTTCGGGTCTAGATCAGATAGGCATAACAACTGACCTGACGGATCAATCGCCTCAAAGGTCGAGTTGGCAACTCCTTGGTGCCAGGAATAGTCTTGTAGAAGGCACAGGCCATGTAATGGTACCGACAAGGCCGAACAGACACGCAATTTCCTCACTTCGCATTCGAGTCATGGGAATCCGAGGGTTGCCTGTAATGAGATCGGAGTCAGCTAGTTTTGATTCAGTTGGACGAGGCAATGTGCTTTACGCTGTTGATGAAGACGGCCCTGATCATCGATGGGATGCTTCAGACAGTCTGACAATAAGGATCGCCGTCATACCAGCCTACCAGCGAGACCACTATGTCTCTTGTGCAATGCTGTCATCAATATGCCATCTTGCATCCAGGTTCGTCACCTACCGGTTGTGCGAGAAAGCCACGCCGGTGCGCAGAGCAGGTTCGCAAGATGGAAATCGCGGGCGACGGACCTCTCTGCGTTATGATCGTACAGTCGTATTGGAGGACTCCTTGTAGAGACACTGCGTCGTGTGCGAAGGCGGTGAGGTGGAGACGCGATGGAGCGCGTCGGCCCGCAGTTTTATCTGACTTGGCGGGAATAGCTTTTCTCGTGACAAGAGTTTCCGCAGTTGGTGATGGGCTGCTACAATGGCATGCTACTGTCAGTGATATTCGTGTCTGTGGCACAAACTTGGCACAAGGCATCGGACTTGACGCGGCCAGCGGCGCGATATTCAACTCACCTTATCGTGGACGACGAACGTCTAGAATTTATGCATCATGTTCTTGGCCCATGACCTTGGTTGGCGGGCTGGCATGGGTACTGTAGCAAATGGACTTGGTGGGAATCACATTCTCATTCGCACTCCCGTGGCGGTCCACAACGTAACCATAGATGTCAGTGCATTGAAGTTCCAGTATAGCCAGACGGAAGAACTTATCCGGTGCCTCAAAAGGAAGGCCTGCTCGACTCTGTAAGCCAAGGAAAAGTACAGCAGAACAAATTGCTTGGGGAGGTGGACGTATTTATAGGCTCCTCAGCTCCAGTCGCGTAAGTGCTCTGCTGGGAAGCAAACGTTGAAGGACACGATGCCTATCCTAAGTGAGGCAGATTCTAATACCGCAACTATCTGCAGCGACATCGTCAGAGCTGTTTGAGATGTCCGCCGAGCGAAAATGCTGTCATGTTGAAAATCAGTGAAGTTGAGTCGGTTAAGAAACGTTGGCCAAGTGTTGAATATTCGGTCTTCTATATTGAGGCAATGAAAGTGATTCATTTTTTAATTTTCCCAATAGTGCCCACATTTTCATCACTCCGCATCATGGATTGTGTGATTTTTGGGCGTCGCTTGAATGTTGGTTGTCTGAGTTGTGTGTAGTGTTCCATCCGTCAAGACTCTGGATTGCGGAAGCGTCAGGCGACACGCGAGCGGGTGCTCGACCCGTCCCGTTGAAATGTGACCGTCGTTGACGGTGTCAACTTTTGAACTTATGACCGATGTTGAGATGCGTTCTTCACTATGTTTTTTTAACCTCACTTTTATATTTTCTACTGCTGGAGTTCATGAGTCTAACGAGTGTGAGTAGAGTTTTGTGATTCAATATATGTCTTTTGGCGCGTTCATCCCAGCGAGAACTAAAACCTGAGGTGCATTCACCCACCACAATCACCACGAGGTTTACACCACTATCATCACCAGTCTTTGACAGAGCGCTAAAAGCCCTCGGATGCTAGGCAAAGTTTGACTGCGTTGAATGACTTTTATGTTGATAGTATTGAATGCTTTATCTAATTCCCTCAAAGGTGTCTGTCTAATGCCACAATGGGTCCAGAATTCTTGGGGAACTGATCCGATTCGTGGTGAGCCATATATCTTGTGCTTGTAAGCTTGGGTCTGCAAATAAGAGAATCGGCTCTGGGGATCGCAAAGCGTTTCTAGGCGCTTTGCACCCCTAGGAAATACTTTTTAGTTTCTAGGGATATTCTAGGCTCCAGGAATACACTACAGTATAATAGAATGCTGTAGGTCTTTGTCACTTGGGTGGATAGTAAGAAAACCCCAAAAGATGGAGAATAAGGCTGAGATTAGGGTCATAAGAATAATGTCGTCAACCAGGGTGTCCATAAGATTTTGGAATTTGGTGTCCAAACTAGTGTCGACAGGGATTCCAAGGTTGAAACTTGATCGTTCTCTTAAAACTACCGCAAAATGTACAATGGTCGAGCTTGGACAGGCGAAGGCCAGCCAGATGACAGAAAGGAAGAAAATGAGGAGACTCATCTGCATCACGGCTCCGGTACTATTTTGAGGCAATCGTGTTCTGTAGGAATAGATACACCGCACTTCAGAAGCTCAGAAAAATCTCGTTTGGTGAAATATTATTTAAAAATAGATAGAGCAGCAAAAAGATGAAGCATATAAATATTCTCGGGCCCGTGAGGATTGTATGTTCGATATGGTATTCACACAAAGACCGCCTTGAGACAGGGTAGCGCAGCTGATACCTATACTGAGCGGCCTCAGAAGCTTTCTTATTACCTGCTGCCTTAGTAGCAATCTCGATGACCATGACGTTGAAGCACTGCTTGGTCAAGTCGTGAGACGAGGAAGTCATGCTTTGCTGTTGATTGACAAACTCCCTAGACAGTCCTCAGGAAATTGTAGCCACCTATTATCTGCGTTATCGGCCGAGATTGCTTTGACCAAACAGTCTAAAATCTTTCAAAGCGTGCAATTGATGTTGGTATTTGGTGAGTCAACACTCTTTCATCGGGAAAACTGCTAGAAAGAGAATACTCAACAGATACTGTCATATCAGTGGATTATGATCGACGAAACTGAAGTGTCCAGTGCTGCTGAACTCAATACTGGAATCGGCTTATGAATTAGTTATCATTGTAGCTTTCGTCACAGCTGAATCAGGACGTGACCTTCGAGGCTCGAGATTTCCACACCCTTCCAAGCGCTCCTTTTCATAAACCAATACGCTCTAGCAGCAGTGTAGCTCCTAAAAACGAATTTGAAATAAGTTCATGTATCAGGTACCATACGGTATGGACATGGCAAATGATTTAGACATACTTAATTTGGTTGTCCGGTTGGCGCACTTACCGCGATTGGGAGATGACTTGCTTTTAGAAGTGATACCTCGCGAGTCACAATTCATTGCGTTTGATTTGATTTCCCAATATAAACGAATATATTGATAGTGCAGAAACAAATTTTATTCACCTTTGAAACAATCACACCTTTAAAAATTTACAACACCATAGGGTAATACAACTTATCAAAGAATCATCACATGTAGCGCTTGAAAGTGATCAAATCCAACGACACTGCGTCTATCTGATATACTCCACCATCAATTGAATCTTGCTGCAACTGTCAAGAATATTGGTATCATGATTGCGGTTCAAGTAGAAAAGCTGAGACACGTTATGATACAGTAACAGTCGTAAACTGTCAAATGTGAGGACTAGATCATCTTCTGGAGAAGAGCAACAATGGAGGGGTCTTACCGAGCCATCCACCAAAGCCACTTGTTTCGGACTACTGAAAGCCGTTGCCTTTGCCTGAGAATCCATTAGTTCCATGGCCTGCGTTGATCAAGATCCAATCCCAAGCTAGAAATTATTGGTCAATACGCGTTTCAAACCAATACGCGACGTTCCAAAGGCGAGTTCTCATGACTATAGTTGGTGTCGACGGTGATAACAATCCTCAAGGGAATTCAGTGTGAAAATTAAACCGGGCTTTGGTGCCAATTTGGCCTTGACGTCGAATTTTCCCTCGTGCCTAATATTATTGCCTTGAGTAAATAATTCAAGGCACTATCTTTCTGCGCTTAAGTACCTCGACAATCACTTTTTTGCGGGTCTAGCGAACTCTTTGCTATTGCATCGCAGCTTCTTTGCGACGTTCAATTGTTTCTCGGCCCTTCTTTCAGCAACCCAGTCCTTTAGTATCTTTCATCTCGTCTCAGTCATCTACTCCTCTTGTGCTTCATATTCAGCGCAGCACAGATATCTCGGGAGAAGGATCATGCCAGGAGCAGAACCCAAAAAGCGAAAGTCAATATGAGCATAACGAACGACCTCACAAACCAGCCAAAGGCTAAAGCGCGAACCATAACGCGGCAGGAGATTCCTGAATGGCAGTTTGACAACAATTATATCTTGAGTGGCTATCGACCAGCGAAAGCAGACTATCTGGAGATCTTTACCAGCCTGACCTTTTTGCACAACGAGTCTTGCAATGTGTACATTCATCTGGTCGGGGCTCTGCTCCTACCACTCGTTGCAACTGCCCTCTTGCGCTACCTGGCCGAGCCCCAATTTCTGAATGTCTCTTCAATGGACTACGCTATGTTTGGAATCTACTTCTGGTGTGCGGAGACCTGTCTGGTCCTTAGCGCAACTTACCACCTGATGCAACCCCACTCGCATCACGTAGAACAATTCTGGCATGGAATGGATCTGCTTGGTATTGTTGTTGTGACAGTGGGCACGTTCTCTTCCGGTATCTACTATGTATTCTTCTGTGAACCTAGCTTGCAAAACTTGCACTGGGCTCTTGTGAGTCTCTCCGAGCGATCGTCGCACCCCACCCTCCTGGCCTGGCAGCCGGGTCCATCCAATGATACACTGACTTCGATTCTAGATCTTAACTACGGGTACTGTCACCGGTGTTCTTATCTTGAATCCCTTGCTTGAAACGCCGCGCTGGCGGAAGGTGAAGGTGGGCGCCTTCGTTATTTTTGGCGCTTCGTCGTTCATACCCCTCCTGCATGGAGTTCAGCGATACGGGCTCGAATACATGCTTCAATACTCGGGAATGAAACTGTATCTGCTCGAGCTTACTTTCTATTTCACCGGAGTCAGCCTATACGCGGTATGTCTGCACGCTCACCCCGTGTTCCATTCCCAGAAAAACGACAATTCTGACGAACATCTGCAGTTTCGAATTCCGGAGCGTTTGGCACCGGGTAAATTTGATATTTGGGGAAGCTCGCACCAGATCTTTCACGTCGCGATCTTATGCGCAATGTGCACACACGAGACTGCTCTTCTGCAGGGTTTTACAACCTGTCATACAATGGATGTGTGTCAGCTTCAGGGTGTCCGTTGAGCAGTATGAAACTTTTACTAGGGCTGGACTGCTCAAATTGTGAGATATACGTTCTATAAGCATTTCCAGTCGTGAATTATCTGTGTGCGGATAGGGATAGGGGTGGCTGCTAAAGTCGCTTAATAGCGTACAACGAGAAGAGGAATCCGAATTGAGAATTTCCACATTACGGGCACAGGTGTCTGTCTAATGCCATAATGGGGCCCAAAATCCCTCAGAAGCTTGATCTGATCTTTAGTAAGCCGTGTATCCTGTCATTGTCGGCTTGAGTCTGGAAATCAGAACATCGGCTCTGGGGATCGCAAAGCGTTTCTAGAAGCTTTGCACCCCTAGGAAATGCTTTTTAGCTTCTAGGGCTATTCTAAGCTCCAGGAATACAAAATCTGCTCCTGGGATGTTTAATCTATGCTCCTGGCGGAATATCTAAATGGCCCTGGGAATACACCATCCAGATCCAGGAGCTGGAGAGCCCCTGGGAGCATACTGTGGGATCCCAGAGGGATCATAGTATCCTTTTGACTTTGTGGAAAGCCCTCAACAAACACCTTCACCAATCCTGCGCATAAATCTGCGCATAAATCTGCGCAATTGAGTGGGTCCTAGAAGGCTGAGCTATAGCCCCAGGAGCGCCACTTACGCCTCTAGGAATCAACAAGTCGTCAACAGAAACGTGGCTTTGTTTCCTCGAGGCGATGGTGTTAGACCCCAGGAGCCATAACAGGTTTCCTAGGGCCACGCGACTCCTGGAAGCTGCTGTTTTGCCCCTAGAGACCTCTGAACAGCTCCTGGGAGCAAGAGAGCCCCTAGGGTCAAGATGCGTTCCTGGCATTGATAGAGCTATCAGCAGAAGCGTGACCGATGATAGTGAAGATGGCAGACCTACAGGCTACTATAAAGTTGATTTTCCGGGACTCTGCGTTTCGCGGGCTATACATCCGTGTAATCGAACGCCGACAATTTGCGTTAGCGAAGTGTGGGTAGCATTGCATCAAGAAACCGCGTTATATTTCATATTTTGCAGGCTCGCCTTCTAGACCGCCTACGGGTAACCTTTGGGTAATACTGGACCGAAGAACTCTTGCTCATGTCTTGAAAATCTATACCCAAATCACAGTCTAATATCAGCACATATCATCGATGGAAGCTCAATTATTTGCGCAGACTATTCTTGTTTATTTTCGTCAAGCTTCGCCATCGAAGGCTTTAATGTAAAAATCAAAGTGTACAAAAGAGTAATGTGACGGCGTTAATGAATGGATTCTAGAGTTTGGGAAAAGGCTTCATATATCTTTCATAGTACAGTAAATCGTCCAGATGAATTGAGATCGTTTCTTGCTCAGATGCCAAGTTGTTGAAAATCAAGCGTCGCCTATATTAAGAGCCGTGAAATGTTGAGATTCCGCCACCAAGACTAACAAAGATATATAGGCTGCTGTATGGGCCTCTTCAATCAGCGATAATGGTCGGAAGAGAACCAAAATCGTCTAGAGTAGTAGAGATATCCGAATGTAGTTCTTGTTCATGCCAAGACTTCATCAAGCCCCATCAACATGGCAGGCTTGAGGATCACTCGCTTGCAAGGCTGAAACGACTCCGTTACAAAGGGCCTGAACAGCACGCTTTCGATCCCACAGTACCAGTGCCTGTTCCTCACAAAGCTCCAGAAGAACGTCTCTGTCGCTTGTCAGCCACTCATTGAACTCCCGAAGCTGTCGCTGCTCATCCTCGAGTCGCAATTTCTCGGCAGATTTGACAACGTAGCATTCCCAAAGGCAAAAATACAAGTCGAGCTGCTTGAGTGCTGGGGAAGCGAGGGTATCATGGTCTTGCAGTATCTTCATAAACTCCGCCGTAAGAGCACCGGATGCCACTGCGATCTGCAAAGTGTTAGTGTTCTTGTTCGTTTTCTGCCGAAGATGGCATGACCGACCTTGGGTTCAATGATCGTGCAGTTTGAAGATTCCTGTGGGTGGTTCTCCAAATTTGGTTCATCTTCTGCTCCTTGGGATTCCCGACACTGTCTCTTGGCTGCCCGGCCAATTGGGGAAGGCGAAGTCGGATGGTCCATCGTGACTGAAGAAATAGAAAAAAGAGATGTTCTGCTTGAGAGCCTTTTATAGACCATTAAAATCACACCAAGTTTGCTATAATTGCACTCATAGCCTCCTGGTTCTGACTTTAGAGAGAATTTCGTTGTTTAGTAAACAACTATCTCAACCGTTGATGCTCGATCTCACCTGCTGTTCACTCAAATTCTCAATTATATGAGAAATTTCGCAACAGGTGAATTATTAAAGCAGGCATTACAAATGATATAAAACAATGGGCATATTTAATTGGACTCCTGATGCATTGGATTCTATTGGCCGAGCAAAGTTGTTGAAGTTATTGGTGACGTTTTTGTGATTACGAACCATCTGATAGTGGTGATGACTGCTTCATATCACGATAGTCACCTAACCTAAGAATCGTTCGCTTTTACAGGCAACAATTATGCGTCTTCATGTCAACAGGGTAAAATCGTTTGACCAGAGTTATGGGCTTCTGTCCTGTTCCTCATGATCATTTGGATGGCATATTCACTTACTAATCCTAAAAGTCTCGTCAAACTACCATCAGTTGTCTTTACACTACAAGCGAGAATAGAATTCAAGCTCATCAAACAAATGTTATTCTCTCGTTTCCAAAGGCTCAAGCGAAAGCTTCGAAATTCCGTCAAAGTGTTTTCTCCTAGTGGATCAAAGTGTCTGCCGGATATACCTGCCGCCTCATCTGAATTAGAACGCACACGACGATCAGCGGCCCCATCCCCAGATTTATCTCAAGGAACATAAAATTCCATGAAAAATAAATACCGACACCTCGATTGAATTGCAATCTATTGCCACAGAAATTTTAAAACAGAATCAGACTCAGCTATTCCTCCAACTCAGAGCCTTACACGGAGAATAACAGGCTGCGAACGCCAGTTATGAAAGAAAAACCGTCTTGGATGACCGCTGTCAGCAAAACATACGACATACGATAGTTGTGAGACAGTGTGTCTTCGGGGCCTGAGACAGCCTTCACTTCCCGTTGGATTCCTGCGATAGATTCCGGGCGTGGAATGAATAAATCGATCGAATTCAGCCAATATTTGCTAGTGAAGAAGTCCAGTCAATGTCTTGGACAGCCATATTATGGAGAAGACCGAGAACCTACACGCTGTTGCTCAATAAAGCATCCTCGGCATTGATATTGATCTGTAAGAAAGCTCTAGAGCCTCTTTGACTACGAAACAACCTCTTGCTCGGCCAATTCTATTGCGGTAGCTTTCGACGCGGCCGAGAATGATAAGGCATTAATTCTTCAGGCGTTCACAGTGTATCTCGCTTCCGCATCTTCATATTAAAAGCCAAAATTAACTTGGCAACCCTCTTACTCCTGGGAGTGACTTTAAAATCCTAGGCTCCAGCTTAAAAGGGTTATCCCCGATTCAATTAGCACGTTTTTGTATTTGCTGCGTCTAAGGCAACAAATCTTTATCCACAGTACTCCTAGGAGCCATCATTGAAAAGTATTCGCAAAAAGAAAAAGGTGATCGAGATTTTGAGGTTTAAATGCACATGGCCGCTTCACTCACAACTTTTAAGGCCATGGTTTTCCTTAAGGTCGATTCCCTCAAGCATTTCGACAAGAACTTCTGATTACAGTACACTGTTCATTAGCACCACAAGACATAAGCGATTATGGATCACGAGATCCCAAATGCACCCAAGACGCCTATTACCCTAGATATAGAACGGCAAAAGGGAAATATATCGCAAACTGGTATCTTACTTCTGAATACTCTTTAATTGATTCAACCCGCTAACAAAAATGTTTCCTGGAGGCTATGACTCCAGTGCAAACTTCCGCCAGATCGTCGGGCGATTCATCCATGCCGATTCTGGCAACGCAAGCCAGGCTTTGCAGCCGTCTGCTAACTGGTACCTGGCTCCGTCTGTAGCTGCCTCTGCTGAGAATCAACGCCCATGTCTACTGAACCGGAAAAGGAGAGCGGTCCAATCCCGAGAATTGAGAACCCAAGAGATGCATCACGGAGTTACAAGAGCTACAGAAATCACCACAAAGTTGATACACGAAACAATTCAATATTTGCAAGTGGTATCTGATCACATCTCATCTTTCGACAAAATTTCCTCCAGGGAGTGGGCCACGATGCACCTCGCCACCCAGCTGCTGCAGAGCAGATACGAAGATCATGTCGCGGGGGAGAACATTCAAGCAAATGCTCCATCCGATTTTCATGCTGCACAGACACAGCCAGAGCTTAAGTGCGAGAAGTGTGCTGCTGCGGATGAAGAGCGGCTGTATGATTAACACACCGCTTGTTCTTCTTGTATCTGACTTTTGGCCATTTTTCTAGAAGAGCTAGCTATTGTACCCGGTTGGATATGTTATTTAGGCTTCTTGATTGGGGATCTTATCAGCGGAATATCAATATTCAGACCTGATAATGGAATGAACAATCTATTGTAGATGACTTATATCTCTCAGTAAGCTAGCATTAACTTGAGTTTCGTTCGGTGATATGAATAGGAATAGGCAAAGTGGAATCATGATGTATCTTGTTGCCTGACATATCTGAACACTCCATAACCAGAGGCAGACAGTATCAAGCCCTCAAATTGTATCTGGTAAGTCTGAAAGTGGAGAGGAAATTTTAGTCCGCGAGTAAGTCAGTCGTTTAGTCTATGTTGACCTTTTTGCTCATAGAAAACCTGGACTTTGCTCGAAGATCACATTCCTGTCGTATATATAACTGTCAATAGCAATATTGAGGTAATCGATGGGACTAATATACTGAGTAATTATCGATATATATGAGAAATTGCTGCAGTTTACGAGTCGCCTTGTTAATGAGGGCTAGCGTCTGATTATCGGTTATTCACACAATATATCCCGGTAGTAGTATAGATAGGGTCTATGGCTCGGCAGCCTTATCTTATGGCGGTTAGTCATGGCTGTGATCTCATATTTTTGAAAAGAGGAAAGAAAGAATATTTAAGATTCGAAAAAGACATTGGAACTCTGCAAATACCAATTCATACCACTACGTATATAAATAAATAGGACCACAATCTCCGTTGAATTCTTGTTCTTATCAATCCGGAAGTGATAAGATTCTCCAATCATGTCAAGCAAGCTATACATAGACAACATGATATGTGACCTTGACACTATCAAAGCCCAATCCCAAATCCCCGCGTCAATGTTTACATCCACCACCTGGGAGACACAGACGGTTGCTGCCACGAAAGCAGCCAGACTACGCTGCAGTAGTCAACCCAAGGTTGTCACTGGGCCTCGCAAAAGCCTTTGCCTTCCACTACTGTGCGGTCTTGGAGACATTGCTTCCGTCTTCATTGTAAGACAAGAATCACCATGGGATACATATCGAGGGGTACTTACATATGAGATTGCGGGAAAAGTCACAATTGCCACGCGCCGTACACGTCCATCTCGCATGGTTGCCATTCGGAGATATCAGAGGCAGAATGCTCAAAGATTAATCTGTAAATTCGGGCGTCTCGAGCACTTGAATGTCCTCTCCTTGCATGAATGCTACATGCACGGCGAGCTCGCGTACTTTTTGGTTGATGACTTGCCGTTGACTCTCGCGTTTGTTGTGGTTTCTCCGACAATTTATCCCAACGAAGCGGAATTGGGATCCATCATGTGTCAGGTTTGCCTGCCGTAGCCCTTTTGATGAGCTGTCCTGACTTTTTAGATCCTCGACGGTGCCTGCTACCTATCATTATTTGGCCTTGCGCATCAGTCTTTAGCCTGTGACGAGATATTGTTTGGGATTGACGGGTCCCTCAAAATAGGTCTGTTGGTGTACCTTTCTCTGCTTCGTCTGGCTAACAATTGGCAGCTTGTTTAGAACTTTGTGTAGATTGCACGTCACAGCAATCTGAAGCTGCATATATTGCCGCTCTTCCGTCAATCACAATGCGGCTCATGCAGAAATTTGACAAAGATGACGGCGTTGTTGGGGTAAATGATCTAGAGCGCTGGCCAATTGGTTCCGCGGCGGTGGATTTCCTGTCCGCCACTGAGACGGCAAGATCTATTGATTGTCTAAGAGATGTAAGGTTTTCTACAACGTATCGAACTTTGCTAACATATAGTAGCAACCACTTGTGGCAGCCAAGCATCGCCCGAAGGATGATCTGGTTCTCCTCGCAAGAGCCGCTCTGCTCTCTTGTAGTGTGAATTGCATTTATAACCTCGAATCTGACAAGCATTAGGGAGTTAGAGTAGCAAACAATCTTTTACAAGCGTGACCTTGTCTCTTCCTCGCAGCTCTTTGGGGCTTATATTGTAAGGAGCATCATTTTGTAGGGCCGCTTGAAGTTACGCAAAATGAGATCAAAGAAAGGTTCACTTTCGATAGGGACAAAATGCAGTAAAATGACAAGCCAACTTCAGCCAGAGTTTAAAAAAGTATAGTTGATGTAATACTAAGTACGTAGCGATTTTTGATTACTATGTGTTGTTCCTTGAACACGGAGCTAGTAGAACTCGGTTTTGTAGATGCCTTATTTGCGGTGGGGTTCGGGATAAGCGGAGGCTCAGGGAAGGCTCAGGGAAGGCTCAGGGTAGGCTCAGGGTAGGCTCAGGGTAGGCTCAGGGAAGGCTCAGGGTAGGCTCGGGGTGGCTCAGAGTAGGCTCAGGGTAGGCTCAGGGTAGGCTCAGGGTAGGCTCAGGGAAGGCTCAGGGTAGGCTCAGGGAAGGCTCAGAGTAGGCTCAGGGAAGGCTCAGAGTAGGCTCAGGGTGGCTCAGAGTAGGCTCAGGGAAGGCTCAGAGTAGGCTCAGGGGTGGCTCATGGTTGGTCCAGCGGTGGCAGAACCGGGTGCCAATTCCGATGAGGGGGAATTCTGTCTGTTCCCCGCACGGTATTGTCACACTTGGTCATTCTTACCCGTCAAATATCGATTTGTGTTTTGTATGGTAATTCGCAACATCCCGGAAGAACTATGCTGTAACACACAGTAATCGTTCCACCCCGACCAGCAGAGTTTTCAATACCGGGAGGGGATTGATAGGCCTAGCGCGATTATAGACCAATGCCCGTCTTACTTGTCGCTTGCATTATAGTCCTTGGCTGTGACACCGTACTAACTACAAGTTCATGATTCTGACTCGTAATTCACGACTCCTTTTAGACTACAGAATTTTAATGCAATACAAACCTCGGGAACTATTTCCGATGGTGCGCCTTGGTCATAACAAACAATAATCGACTAGCTTATAGCGGTCTGCTCTGAACCATCCTTCCACAATCAAGGATGCGAACTCAACGATCATCCATACAACGGGAAGCAGTCCAAAAGCGCCCCTTTCATTCTTCCTCGATTTGCAGCAATTTTGCTGCGACATAAACTTTGGCCTTGGTGAATTTCATTGAAAATAGGGAGCTGTCTTGGCGTTTTCGTCTCCTTCGGACATCTGTTAACCCCAAACCACGGCAATTGGCAAGGTTTGCTGAGCTTTAAAGTATTTACCATGCAAACCACTGTATATTAAACTATATGGCCAGATTGCAGCAGAAACGACACGGTCCATGAATCAAACTCAAACCTCAGAGTAGTCTACACCGAAACACCAGCAAAATCAATCATCAGCTAGAGACTGCGCACCACAGAGGTCCCGTCACAGTTTTGTGAGAATCATTGGCATGCCGCTGAAAATGCATGATTTCTGTGAAATTTTTGTCGCAAATGTTGCACGCAATCGACTGGCTTGACATCATTTTTTTAAGGTGTTTTCTTTTGATGTGTTTGGTGACATCCCCATGAGAAGCAAATTGCTGAGCTCGCTTCGTAGGGTCCAGGTCTGGCTGACCCACACAAATGAAGCAGAATAAGGGTCGATGATCCTTCATAGCAGATCGAAGGGCAAGTTCGAGGGGAGTGTCTCGTTGACAGCTGCTGTCCAGCACTTTACTTTCCAGCTGGCGTTGACCATGGATCTCGATGTTTTTCCTGGTCCCTTCTGATCTTTTGTTCCGCGGTAAACGGCAGGTGTCGCCCTCCTGAAATTGACAATAAGCCGCCACTGAATCAATTGCTTCGGTTCTCCTAGTCATCTCCTCTTCTATCGTTGGGCGTGGCAGAGTCAAAAGACTCTTGATCAACCGCTGTTGAGGTACCGGGACCTCGACGGAGCACTTCAGCCGCTTACTTGAGGATTCAGTTGGCGCAATCCCGGACAATTGGCGCTTGATCTCTAGCATAGGCTGTTCTCGGTCATAGTTGTTTTGAATCTGCGCAAGAAGTGTATCCTGTGCGCGCTTCCTGGCTCCCGCCAATTCCTGATTCAATTTCCTGTACATATCGTAGTCCGGTGTCCCTTTGTGTTTTGACAAGGGACGCTCTAGAGATCGTCTGATCTCATCGCGCTGGCGCGTCAAGCGGACGATTTCCGGCTCTTGATTCACGGAGCAGGATTGTTCCGTTGTTAGCTCCTGCGGGCGGTCTGGGTCGATAGTTCGGCTCATTCGGCAAGCAGCGCGCATTATATCTTCTTCTGGGTCCAGGCCACGAATTATGGCGGGCAGGTTCTTAGAGATTCTTCTACTAAGGTAGAATTTCAAGAATGTCCGTGTATCAGCGTGATGCATCACAAGATTGCGGAGGGAGTCGCTGACGGAACCTGGAGCTATATCAGTTGATCCATCTTGCAAGAGAGAACAGTGCAACGTACCACTATTGTCCAAAGCTGTGCCTGCTCCATAGCGTAAGCTGTAGGGCCGTGTAACTTGCCGAATCCCTGTAATTACGCCCATCTTCTTGACCCATGGTTCCAAGGTTGAGTAAGGGAGAGGTTTGTGGGGTGAAATGCCGATCCCGTTCAAAGTCCGTTCCGACATCCGAAATACTGGCACGTCACCCATTGCCGGGTCAAGCTGTAGCCGAAGTTCGTTACACTCGTCACGAATTCGAAGCCGAGGAAGCTGATTTGCAAGAACCAGGACCTCTTCGCCATCAACACGGGCAAATGCACGGTCTGCAAAAAGAAGGCCCAGCAGGAATACATGGGGACTCAGAACCAACGAAGGATCGAAGATGATTTCGGGGAGAATGTAAGTGTTTCTGAAGGAGTTGTCAGTAACAGACGACGGCGCAGATTTGAGTGTACTCACGCGTCTTTAGCACCTAGCCACTCCTTTGTGAACTCAAAAGTAAACTCAATCACAATTCGATGTGGACCGCCCTGCGGGTCACGGAGAAGACTGACTTGGATGTGACGATATCGCAGATCGAGGATGGCTTGCGGACGGTTAGTCGTGAGCCCTGCGAGCTGCAAGAAGA